CCAGGAGTTTGAGGTTGCTGTGAGCTAGGATGACGCCACGGCACTCTAGCCTGGGCAACACAGTGAGACTCTGTCTCAAAAAAAAAAAAAAAAGTGTGACATTGGCATTTACTGGGACATGTTTATTGGTGAACTTTGCTCCAAGTGTAACCCAGGACATTACAGAAGCAGTTCCTAGTCTATGTGACAAGAATTCTGTATATCTTACCATTTCTGATACATAATTCTGACCTCTAGAACACAAATGTTTATAGGTCTTTTCTCTTTGAAGTCTCCCTCTCTACTCCTTTCTCTTGCTTATAAAGATAGTTAGGTTCCTCTGTTTAAAAAAAAAATTGCTAACTCACTACATACCCTTTAATAAACTGCCCTATTTACCTTCGTCCATTCACCACCAAAAATGTCTTCAAATAGTCTATTCTTGCTGGCCCTGTCCCCTTCCTCAGTTCCCATTCACTCCTCTCCCATTCCAATCTAGTAAATTCCTCTCCAAGAGCTGCCAAATGGAATTGGTTTTTTGATCCAGATTCTTCTTGAACCTCGTGCAGCATTTACTCCATGGCCCATCTTCTTCTCTTAGAACCTCTATCTTCCCTGCTTCCTCAGTGTATTTTCCCTGTCTCTCTTCTTCCTCTCTGACTAATCCATCCCAGGCTCTCGGGCACCTCTTCCTCCTCTGCCAACCCCTTGTGTCTATTCACGCTACATACTCTTCCAAGGTCTTCCAGAATTCTCCCATTGCCCACCCACCATCCTCCTTTATAAAGACTTCCAAATCCAGACCTACCTGCTTTTCCCAGGCCTCTCCTGAGCTCCAGATCTACGTGCTCATCTGTCTACTTGTTAACCATTCCTGTCCGAATGTCCCACAGTTTCCTCAAATGCGACATATCAAAAACTGAACTCAATGTGTTCCCCCCTCCAAACTCTCTCCTCTCTTATATTTTCTACATCAGCCTCCCATGTTGGAAACCTGAGCTACACATGACTTCTCCTACACCCTCGTTACCCACCTCCTGCCCCCATCCTGTTGGATGTTTCTTAAAATCTCTTGAATGTGACTATGTCTTATATCCCGTTGCCATTGCATTAATTCAAGCTTTCACCATCTCTTGCTTGGACTATGCCAGCAGCCCCTTAATGAATCTGTCTCCCCTGCTGCTCATTGTCAACACCACGGCCACAAGTATGCTCCTAAAAACAAATCCGGTCAGTTAGCCACTCCAGCCACACCATGCAGTGCGGTTGCGTCTCTTTGTCTATTTACCTGTCTGTTCTATTCCAGAAGACCTTACCCTTCTTCAGGGCATGAACTACTATGAGTTGACCAATCACCCAATCAGCCCATCAGTCACAGTGCCCTGCCTATTTAAATACCTGTTCCTTATATGTTATGGCCCTGAATTCTGTTCTCATGGAACTTATTTCTGCCCTAGCTCTGTCACTTCCCACCTCTTTCCCTACCCCGTGGCCTCCCTAAACTTCTAGGGTTGGGCTTCCCAACTCAGATTAGCCTTCCTCATCTCTGTCATCCTTTGTGCCTACCCCTTCCCCATTTGTCTTCCTCCTTGTGCACCACACTCAGTCCTTTAACTATCTCAGCTTTCCTTCATCAACTATAAGCACTAGAAGGCATTTCCATCTCTGTGGTTTACTTCAGTTCTTCATACTTTGTTAAATATTTCATGATAGTCCAGACTTGAAGTCCTACCAACACATTACTACTCTTTGCCTAAAGGCAAAACAAATTCTTCATCCAGTAACAAAAGGGTCACATAGCCCAAGACCAGAAAATGAATAGCCTGAATTGAATCCTTTGGAGATTAAAGATGCCTCAAGACTTATTTTCTGGAATAAACAGCATTGTTTAATGATGACATATCTTGTATTGTTTTAACACCAGAGAAAACATTTGGAAAGATCAAAACCACTTTTTATTAAACTATATATTTCCACAGAAAGTACTATGAAATTCATTGCATTTTGTCATTTTCCAAAGTCAACGTTTAAAATAAATTCATTCATTCATTTATTCACTTATCCATTTAGTGGTGATTAGACACCCAACTTATAAAAAGGAATTCCTATAGCAAGAATTTTACAGTCTTGGAAGAGACCCATATTTCTATAAAATCATATTAAGATAATGAAAGTATATTTGATGGTAAATGCCACAGAGAAAAATGTAAATAATTCCAGGTGTTTATAAAATAGCATAAAATAAACTTTTAATAAAGTCACATTTGAATAACACCATTACTGTTAGACTAACACCAGGAATAAATCTATATGACATTAGTTTGGAATTAAATCAATTGTATAGTTGTATCTCTAAAGACTGTAGAAGTAATCGCTTATATACTAAAATCATGAGCTGAAGTTTGGTCTGAATCTATTAAACATCTAAGTAATTAACATTTAATCCTCAGATGTGGCAGATTCTGTGCTTTTTCTACAAATTATGACTGACTGCAGAGATCATAATTATAGTAATTAAGACTATTCTTTAACATATCATTTATCTGATTATGTATCCCACCAGGAATAAATAACAGCACATGAATTGGCTTTCAGGACTGATCAAATATAATTTATAAAATGAATAAAAATATTTAAAAGTCTGAATAAGTTCTATATTGTTCAAAAAAGGGATTGTAAAACTGCATCGTAGACTGGCTCATATCGTCCCCTTGTGTCGTGTGTCTGTCTGACTCAAGTGGATGTCCGTTTTACCTTGAAGACTTACATTAAGGCTGGGCTCGAGCCTGAGAATTAGCATTCTCATAAGTTCCAAGGTGATGATGCTGCTGCTGCTGATCCGGGTACCACACTTTTAAAAACCACTGATACAGGCCGGGCGCGGTGGCTCACGCCTGCAATCCTAGCACTCTGGGAGGCTGAGGCAGGAGGATCATTTGAGCTCAGGAGTTCGAGACCAGCCTAAGCAAAAGCGAGACCCCCATCTCGACTAAAAAAATGGAAAGAAATTAGCTGGACAACTGAAAATATATAGAAAACGTTAGCTGGGCATGGTGGCACATACCTGTATTCTCAGCTACTTGGGAAACTGAGGCAGAAGGATTGCTTGAGCCCAGGAGTTTGAGGTTGCTGTGAGCTAGCCTGACGCCACAGCACTCTAGCCCAGGCAACAGAGTGAGACTTTGTCTCAAAAAAAAAACAGACTTAAATTAAGTGGAACCCTGGCAAAGATAAGGCCCAGGTGCTTTTCCTCTGACCTGGTACTCTTTTTTTGTAGGAAGACGATTTGAGAAGCCCAGTGTGTAGTAGCCAGAGAAGAAGTGCCCTTTACTCGCCCACTAAAACAGCCTTTCCCAGCCTGTCTCCCAGAGATGGGTAGTCCCCCAGCCCCCGTGCTTGCCAAAAAGCAAAAAGGAGTGGGGTTTTCAAGGTCAAACTAGCTTGGAGTTTGATGCTGCAAAGCATGGCCCCCTCCGTTAGCATGTTAAAAACTAGAAGTCCTTTAAGAAAGAGACAGGTTTAACGTTAATCCTGCATGCCTCGGGCTTATTTGACTATCAGGCCCTTTTCTGGGAAGGACCAACTGTGAGTAATACCTAAGAACACATCTGCAGAACCCACATTAGGAAACGTAGCCCTAAGCCTCAATTACTTCATGTTCTTTGGCAGGCTTGATCATGGCCGTTTTGCCCACCCAGATATTCCAAAAGAGCATTCAAATTGAAACCTCTGTTGCAAACATAAAATCCTTCACAAAATAATCTACACAGTGCTCATTTTCTCTCTGCCAGACAAAAAATTAAATCAGCAGAGGCAGGGGCCAAGCCTGTTGTTTGGTATAATTCTATACGCCAGAGCTGATTATTAAGTCAGCCTTTCTGGCAAAGCTGTGTCCAAACCCACCATCAGGTGTTAAAAACCTGAAGGGAGAAAACTGGATGTTTTTATATGACATCAGTATCTATGGCACGATGCTCATTTGCTTTATTGTCTAAATGCAAATAGCACTTGTGTGTCTGCACTGGGGGCCACTTCTATGGTAGCAGGAGCCAGCACTCACCGAGAGGGCTCAGCCCTGTGCTTAGCTCGGACTGCATTCTGTCCTTTACCTGCCCGATGTCCCTCGCCACGTCCGGCACTGTTATCCTCTGCATCTGACAGATGGGGAAGCCAAGGCGTAGGGGCGTCCAGTAATTTGTCCAAGGTCACATAAGTACTAAGTGGCAGAGCCAGAATTCAAAACCAGGCTGTCCACCTCTGCGCTGCACACTCCACTAAACGCCTCTCTATGCAGAATTAATAAAGCCGACTACCAAGGAACAAATCTTTGTCCAAACTTGGCCTGAAAGAGAACATGTACAGAGCTCATTTCTTTTGGACAAAGAAGTCATATCAAAGGCTGTTCTTTCAGGAAAGAACTTGGTGAGAGAAGGTATGGTAAACTTCAGCTCAGATTTTGGTACCAGAAGCAGGGCATCCAATGGTAAAATTTCGTCCATTCTTTCGCCACATCACCCCTTGGACTGCCAATGCCCTTTTGACCACTGAAAACAGGGTGATCAGTGCCTTCACATCTGATTAGATTAGAGAGCCGATCCAGAAAGTCCTACACATCAATTCAGAAAACTCATCCTGAAGATTCTGTTCCTCTGGATGGACTTCAGGTACCAAAATGTAGATTGGTTTTCTATTACTTCTGTAACAAATTGTCACAGACTTAGTGGCCGAAAACAACCCGAGGTTATCATCTTACAGTTTCATAGGTCGAAAGTCCAACATGGGCTGCACTGGACTGTGGTCAAGGTGTTGGAAGGGCCGTGTTCCCTGCTAGAGCCTCCAGGGAAGCATCTGTTTCCTTCCCTTTTCCAGCTTTTAGAGGCCAGCAGCATTCCTTGGCTTGGATCTTTCTCCATGGCCTCTCCCTCTGACTGCAGCTGGGAAGCTTCTCTGCCATTAAGGACTCATGTGATTTCGTTGGACCCACTTAGCTAATCTAGGATAATCTACCCGTTGGGGTCCATAACCTTAACCACATTTGCAAAGCCCCTTTGCCTGTAAGGTGATATGTTCGCAGCTTCCATTAGGACACTCTCCTGGGGGCTGTTATTCTGCCTACCAGGCTGCATCATTTAACGCCCCTGAGCCCCAGTTCCTTGACCTGTCAAATGAAGACAGTATCTACCTCCTAAGGTGGTTGTGAAGATTCAATGACTTAGTACAAGAAAAGCCCTGAAGACAGTGCTGTGTGCAGTGGGCACGCAGGAGGTGCTGTTGTTATTTCTGACCTCTGATATTGCAATCAGAAACACAGCCTCCTCTGGGCGCAGCAACCTGCACAAATCGCAGCTTCTTTAATATCGATGTTTTCAGAGAGAAAAAATTGTTGTTAGAAAAAAATTAACATTAATTCATACCACTTGAAAATTTTATTCCTGGGAGCTGTGTGAGCTCTTGCTACAAGGCAGAACCCAGGGCAACTGTAGTCATTCTGGGTTAATGGGAACTCATGTTTTATTTATCTGAAGCCACAGAGATGGAATTTGCAAAAAAAGTCCAAAATGGATTTTAGAACTGATAACAACTACCCTAATCCTCTTCTAAAAATTGAATAATCAGCATACTAATAGGTTTAGCTAACACCTTCTGTGGTTAGTGGAGGTAGAGCTTTCTTTTCTGCAGCAACAAATACAGTGGTCCTGAACACCGCTGTGAGTTGTTTTCATTGTCTCTCGGGGGGAAAAAATTGAAGCCTTTGGTTAAGACCAAGCCTAAGGGGATAGTTCTGTTAATGATTGGTGAGCTGCACAGAGATTGGGACACCCAGTGTTTTGATGGCAGCTTCAGGGAAGGCAAAGGGAGAGGCGTTTAATAGCTTTTGTAGCACAACTCAGTTAAAGGCCTGGCAAATAAGCCCTATAAGGAAAAATTAAAATAATTGGTTTAATTTACCAGGAGAAGAAAAGAGTAAGGGATGATTTGATCTTCCATATTAAGGTTTTTCCTAAAAGGTTTTTAAATGAGAAAGATATGAGCCTGCTACTTCCCATGCCCATAGAGGATTAAAGGAAAAAAACAAATCAACAAGCCAAACCTTGAATAGAAACAGGATTTAAGTTGATTTAGAGATGGCCCTGTAAGTAGAATGCAATCTTGGAAATAATAAGTCTCTAACTCCAATTTTTAAGAAAAAAATTAGTGTTGGTGCTTTTACCTGTCTACTGTCAGAAAAGTAAACATTCATATTTATGATTTCAGTCCAGGGCTGCCACCTCTTAAGAAAAAAAAAATCATTAGCTTGGCTTAAAGTTATCTTAAGCACTGTAAAAAAAATTGTTAAAAATAAAACTGAGAACTCAAAATTAAATTCCAGTTTTCATAAGGGTGGGAAAATTTCAGAGTTTCAATCAATGACTATTTATCGAACACTCAATATTAAACACTAGGTCTTTTTTTCGTGTGGCAGGTTGTCCATAATAAATTTGAGGTGTGATTTGCTCATCAACTCCATCAATACTTCCTGAACAACCAACTGTGTGCCAGGCACACAGAGTGGGTAAGGCCCCTGCTCTGGAGCTGGCATTGCATTAGGGGAGACAGACAGAAAACACACAAACATATGAACAAGAAATACACCAGATGGTGGCCAAATGCTCCATACCGACCTGATGCTGGGGGTGTGGCAGGATGAGCGTGTGGCTCTGTCAGATCGGAGGAGTCACAGAAGAACTCACAGAAGAGAGGTGGCATTTGAGCTGAGAGCTGAGTGGCTGGGAGGAGCCATTGTGCAAAGAGCACTGAAAGAGCATTCCAGACAGAGCACACAGTTAGTGCAAAGGCCCAAAGGCGGGAGGAATCTGAGAATTGCAAGAAAACTGAAAAGAAAAAAAAAGAATTAAAACTTAAGAAAAAAAAAAAAAGGCCATTGCAGCTGGCGCAGGGCGTACCATTCAGGAGCAAGGGGTACAAAATGAGGTCTGAGAAGTCTCCTGGGGCTTTATAATCCAGGAGGGAGTTTGGATTTTACTCTAAATGTGATAGGAAACCATAAGAAGTTTTAGCAAAGGAATGACTGGATCTAATTTATATTTTTACTAAATGTATCATCCTGGATGAATTTCATAAACACAGTGCAGAGTGAAAAAAGGCAAGCAAGTGGAAGCAAGCATGATTCCACTGATACAGGTCCCAACACATGGAAAAATAAACAGGGTGTTGTTGGAGATGCATAAAGATGTGATGAACTATAAAGAAAGCGAATGATAAACACACAGTTCAGCATAGTGGTTCCTGGGGAGGTGGAGGAGGGGAGCGCAGCGGGGGAGGGGCACATGAGACACTTTGGAGGTATTGGAAGGTCCTGTTTCTTAGGTCAGGTAGAGGGCACAGGAGTACTTGTCATATCACTCTAAATACCTTAGATGTATATCATGTATGTTCTTCTCTATGAATGCAATATTTCATTATCCAAGTTGTGTTTTTAAATAATTCATCTGGCTGCTGAATGGCTGGGCCATAGTGAGGCAAGAGTGCAATAAGAGATGAATTAGAAGCTAATGCAGTGGTCCAGAGAGGAGATGGGGGGGAGGGACAAGATGGGAGGAGTTTTGGCTTGTGCAACAGTGTCTGGTGATGCCACTTCTTGAGGGACAAAGGCCCCAGGAGGAAGAAGTTGGGAAGGGAGGGAATCAAGCGTGTGCCCATATGAGTGTGGTATGTCTATTAAACATGCACATGGAATGTCTCATAGGTAGTTGGATAAATGAGACTGGAGTCCCAGGGAGATCAGTAGTGGAGATCTGGATTTCGCAGATGGGTGTTGTGAGAGCTCTGGGTCTGGATGGCTGAGGCGCCTTAGACTGTTCTCGTATATTTATAATCATCCTTAGGAGCCTCAGTCACTCTCAACTCTAATGCTAGCACCGCTGCAAAGTCAAAAAGAGAAGTGTGCCATTTTGAAGACTTTGTGTAGAATAACTTACCCTTTCCCATCTTTTTCATTTCTAGATTTTAGAAATATTAATTTTCTGCATTCTCCTATATTGCTATAAAAGAAAAGAAATGAAGCACATAGTGATTCTGCTAACCCTGGTGGCACTTCTAGGTAAAGGCATATTTTGTTTTCTTATTCTCTAATCGAGCTGTGCTAAGTCATAAACAAGATTTGAAGTAAAATACTTGAGCATGCTATTCCTTTCTCATTTTTTATATTTGTCAACTCTGATTTATAGAAAGAAATCGAGTCTAAATTATAGAAATTATACATTTCATGTCCATTGTTGTAATTGATATATATTTAATTCTTTTAAAAATATATTTAAGGATTTTGCTTCCTGGTAATTCTATTTGCTCACTGACAATTTGAGGATATTTTTTTCTTAGTAAATAATTGAAATATATTAAAAGAAGAACAAACTAATGAACCCAATTGAAATTCTTATGTCAGCAATTGGTTGGCCAAATCTATGCTGCTTATATTTTTTTTAAAAAAACTTTAAAATATGTCTAATAGGAAACATAAATGTAAGCAGTATGACTTTCTTAAATACCACATTTCTTTAATTCATTGTTTACCAGCCCATTTACTTTTTTCCCCCCAGAGGTACCTTGTAAGATTTGAAAACTGTTGCTTGGATAAGCCCATTATATATATTTTAATGTATCCTCCCTCCCTTCTCCTTTTCTGTCTCTCTGTCTCCATCTCTGTGTCTTTCTCTCTCTCTCTCTCTCTCTCTCTCTCTCTCTCTCTCTCTCACACACACACACACACACACACACACACTCATATATACACCAACACTAGGAGATCTCACTAATCATTTGGGAAATTCCCTTTTTAAGAATTTATTTGTAATTCTTCCTTTCCCTCTTCTTTGCCAGTAAGATGACCCATATGTTGTGTGTTGTTTGCTATGACTTGGTAGGTTGTGCTTACACCACTGGAGCTGCATGCAGCCCCATGTTAATGAGGTGCTGGGTTTTCATTTTCCTACCTCATCAACTAGTTCTCTCCTCTGTATTGGAAGATTTGTGTTTGCGATAGTTACTTACAGAAACACATGTACTCTACCCTATATCCAGGTATGCTGTTGATCAAGACAACAGAAAGGAAACTTTATATTTGTTTCTTTCCAAATTACCAGATAGGAAGAACAAAAGGAAACAACTAAGGAAAAAAATGTACATTATATAGGAAAATAATGAAAACAATGGAAACTTTAAATAGGAATGTAAGACAACAGAATTAAGATCATACATATTAGTTATGATCATAAATGTAAATGGAATAAGTTACCTAGTAAAAAAAGATTCTCACATTGGACTTCAGAGAAACTTCTAGGTTGATTTTGGAAAACAATTCTGAAACTGGATTCAGCCAATTGGCCCTAGTACAGCTATAGTAGTTATGAGAATAGCTGCCACCCAGGCCTCCTTAGGGCCTCCTTCCCTGATGACTTTTCCTCCCAACTCCAGCCCTGCCACAATAAATACTAATGCAAGGGGTCTCTGGGACCCTCTTCCAATGGTGGTAAGGCCAACACCCTTTCTGGCCTTTGTGGGTTGTGAAATGTTTTGGCGACATATGTAAGTTTTATCCAAAACAAGGTAACTCAAATTGAAAGTAAATGAAAGCAGGGGGTAATGATACTATGAAATTAAAGTCAAGGCAGAAGGCATTAAATGAGACAAAAGGGGGTAATTTATTCTGATAAAAAGAGCACAGTCCACAAGAATATCATATCTAATATGTGATATAAAACCTGAAGAAAAATGCAAAACTACAGTAACAAAAATATAAGGGAAGTAGAAGACTTCTCTTGGCTCATGGAAGATAAGTAGACAGAAAAATATGTAAAGACAGAAGAGCTGAATTCTTAATTTTGAACTAGTACCTCTAATATTGAACTCTAAATCCTAAAAACAAAGAATAAATTTTCTTTCAAGTGCCTGTGTAACATTTAAAAAAGTAGATCACATAATTGGCCCTAAAGAAGTTCTTGATAAATTCCAGGAATTTGAATTAGTACAGACCACATTCTCAGATGACAGTGAAATAAAAACAAAAAAATAATAACAAAAATAAAAACCAGTAAATCTCTACCACCAGGAAATGTTAACAATAGTCTTAAACTGCAGCTAGGTAAAGCAGAAACCAAGATTTCACTGCAGCATATATTTTTTAAATTATTATCAAAACACTTAATATTGAAACCTGGAGTTTTTGAGTAATGCTGTATTTAGAGAAAATTAATTGTTTTAAATGTAAGTCAATTAAGCACTCAACTCAAGAAGTTAGAAAAAAAACTGAAATAAAACTAAGAGAAAGCAGAAAGCATTTAATTATAAAGGCAAAAATTAATGAAATAGAAAATAGAAAAGTAATGGATTGATAACTAAACCCAAGAATCAGTTCTTAAAAGGAAACTGATAAAATACATCGTCTCCTCATCCGAAAAAAAAGCAAAAGAAAAATCACAGATACCCCAAAAAAGAAATGAGATATAGATTGATTGATAAGTATGCATTTATAAACACTCACATATATGAAAACTTGAATAAATCGCTTATTTTTAAAGGAAATAACTATGGAGGAAATGAAGGCGTTTATGTTAAAAGCTACATCCTAAAAAAGAACCAGGCCCAGACAGTTCCAAATGTAATGTCTTCAACCCCTTAAGGAATAGATTATTCTGATGTTGTTAGAACTATTTGAGGACATAAGAAGAAAGCTTTCGCTTTTTTAAAAAACATAATCAGATAATACTGATCCCTAATCTGAAAAAGATAGAACAAATGAAAAACACTATCAAGTAACTTCACTACTAAATACTGACGCAAAAATCCCAAATAAAATATTAGCAAATAAAATCCAGAGCAAATCATACTCAACAACCAAGTGGTCTTAATAAAACTGATTCTTTTTCTTTGTAACACTCATAACAATTTGTACTTACATATTCTACTTAGATGTTTATATGTTGTTATGAGCTCATCTTCCTTGCCAGATTAGTTCCATGAGAACACAGACCGTGTCTGTTATGTACACTATGTATACTTTACTTAGAACTGAGGATGGTAAGCACACAATAAACATTTGAGTTAATTAACTAGTTAATTATGGGAATGAAAGGAGGGTTCTTTTAAAAATCCATTAATATACTTCATCATGTTAATGAGTTAAAAGGGAAATGAGATATTGGTCAAATGATACAAACTTTCAGTTATAAGATGAATAAGTTCTGGGGATCTAATGTACAGTATGGTGATGATAGTTAACAATGTTGTATTGTATATTTGAAATTTGCTAAGAGTAGATATCAAATATTCTCACCACACACAAGAAAAATGACAACTATGTGAGGTAAAAGATGTGTTAACCAACTTGATTGTGCTAATCATTTTACAATATATACAAATATCAAGTCATCACATTGTATACCTCAAATTTATACAATTTTATATTTCAAAGATACCCCAATAAAGCTGGAAGAATGCTTTAAAATGGAAATCGTGTGATGCTCTCAATAGATGTTGAAAGGCCATGTTAAAGTTTAATATTCATTCCTAACAAAGAACTTGCTGGTGAAATACTAGAATTGTTCTCTAATACTAGAGTTAGAAAGGAGAAAAAAAGATGCCGCCTCTTCACTGTGTGCTCATCTTGCTCTTTCAGAATTTTACAATGACCATTAATGACTTTTACCAAAAAACAAAAAAGAATTATGAAAATCATGGAGCAGCTTTGAAAAACATTGATAGTGTCATATGTATAGTGGGAAAAGTAGCATAGAACATTGTATCTACCTTCGTTGTGATTAAAAGCACACATGGGGTGAACACTGGAAATGAGTGAGAGGTAGTGAAGTGAATAGGTGGATTTTTTCCTTTGCTTCATTGTTGTCATGATACTGCTTGTGCGATAGATACAAAATAGAACTTAAAAAAGAAATAGAGAGTGGAGGCATCAGGAAGGAAGCAATCTGGCTTCTGGTGAGGGGTTCCCTTTGCCTGTGGCTGTGATCTGTCTTAAAGGGATCCAAAGCTCTCGTCTGGTCCTCACACCAGGAAGTCATTCCCTATCCTATCACACTCTGGTTGTCAAAGCCAAATTAATAAATAAAATATTTATGGTCCTAATAAGGAGACATCGAAGTCAATCTGGGAAAGTTCTGGAAGGAGCTATTGATGAGGAACGAAGAATAAACCGAGAGGACCAAATTTCAAAAAACGGTTCAGCACCTGTTTGGAAAAACTGGTGTTGTTAGAACAATGAAAGTAATATCTGTTTATTGTTGGTAATTAATAAAATAGAGAGAGATACAAAGAAAAATATAAAAATCCATGTAACTGAGCACTGTAGCACAGTAGGACAGAGGGTGACTGACACTCTCTGGAAGGCAGTTGGCCAGTGTATTTCAGAAGCCGTCACAGTGGCTGTCCACACAATAACTCCCCTGTAGGTGGTTTTCCTAAGGAAGTAGGCAGAGTGACATACAAAGATTTATGTTCAAGAATGTTCATCACAGCCTAATTTTTAAAAGTAAAAAAAAAATGAATACAATCTAAATATCCAAAAATAGGGCATTGCCAAAATAAACTGGACACGCATACAAAGGCATTCTTTACAGCCAGTAACAATCACGCTTTAGAGGAATACTCAATGGCAAAGAAAATGCTTCAAGGTAAATAGGTCCCTAAGTAGTGTATACTTGGAAAATAAGCTCCTAAGTAGTAAATACCATATGATTTACATGTTGTGATTTGTTCATACTTATAGATAGAAAAATAATGATGTGCCCAAAACTTAAAAATGATTTGGGAATGAGTGTTGAGATTAAAGGTGATTTTAATTTTGCTTTTCAGGCTCTTCTACATTTTCCAAACTTTTTTAAATGGACATGTATACTTCTATAGATTTTTGAAAATGAATTTAAAGTTTATTGATATTCCCAGTGTTAGAGATAACCACTGGCAATATCTTGATGTAGTTTCTTCTAGACTTTTTTCTTTGCATACCTAAGTACTTTCTATTTTTATGTATGAAACATTAAAATGGTACTGCATTACAATTTTGCATTTCAACCTGTCCTTAGCAAGCTCCCCTCCCAAACAAAACTTAGAAGTACTTGACACCAGCCTACAAATAACTTGCAGAGTTACAATAAATAGTGATTAGTTGACAATTGTGCATGCTTTAAAAACATAATGATTAACTATAGATATTGATAGTTTAGCAGTTTAATAACAAATTCTAGTTTTGTATTTAAGCGTAATTTAAGATCAGATGGTGGTTAAATTAGATGACCTTTGAGGTCCTTTGCAATCCTGAGTTTCCGAGGCTAATGGAATGGTATGATCAACTCTTTCTCTGTTAATTATCCCTTTGGGAAATCTGGCTGTTCAGACCACAAGACCATAACCACATCGTGCTGTAATTTCAGGCAAAGTCTTTAGGAGGAAATTAAGGTCCCTCAAGAGCTAACCTACAAACTTAAACCATCAAGTGACACACAGATCTCTACAGATATTTAAAATTTCTAGATTAGCTAAGATATGACTATTGCCATAATCATTAGGAAATATGTAAAAGGATCAGATCAAAAGATATTTTAAGATGGAGAGGGGCCTAATTGTAAGGGCTTCTCTGTTCAGATGGGGGGTTTGTTTTTAGAATTTATCATCTGGTCTCCTCAGTTAATTAACAACTTTTAACTGAAAGAAAATGCCTAATTTGGAAGTGTGCTTTAGTATCCTTCAAGTTAAGGTATATTTTCAGTTTTTGGAAAAGTAAATTATGGGAGGCTCTTCCTTGGCCATCACCTGCTATTTTAAACCTATTCTTTAGAATATCTCTCTCTCTCTCCCTCTCTTTCTCTCTCTCTATATATAGTACCTTTTCAAAAGCTAAAAGGAATAAAGCTCAGATATATTATGACCAGGTAGATCAACGGCAACAAAGACAGTGTTTCTCTATCACGTTGCCTTTGACTTACGATTATTTGATTTCATGTAAAAATTATTTTTGAGCTTTGTGTAGGTTTCAGCTAAATTATGGAATTAATTGCCACAGTAACTTCAAGGGATGTAAGACAGAAAGCATTATCTTCTTCCTACAGAAACAAATTGTTACCAGAAAATGCTCCATTGCTTTCATAGTGATATAAACTTCTCAAGTTACTTTTTCTTAATTGTTATTTGGAACCTAAGGAAAATTTGTTCTCCTAGGGGACGGGTTCCTCTTTAGCATAGAAAATAAACAGATATTGCTTATGTAAAGCCCAGATTTACCATTGACTCTGAGCCATGAGTACTCAGCCTTGGTGCTTCTTCCTGTTATTGTCTTTGTCAAAAAGTATTTTTAATGAAACTTCTAGGCATCCACTAACAAAAAAGCTCTTGCATGGAGACTTTGTACTACACTTAGCAAACTCAGGGAGTGAGTTGCTTTTCACTTTGCAGTCTTCTCATCTATTTGGTTTTAAATTTTTCAGTACAGTTTAATAGTCATTTTCCCCTTAATGTCACATGGACAATCTGACCTTTCTTATCTCCTTCCCCCATTGTTTGCGCCTTTCCCCCCACCAGTCATTATAACCTCCTCAGCATTCTCTCAAGAGTTAGGGCTGGAAAATGAGCACCTTGCTTCAAAGATAAAAAGCATCCAGTTGCACAACAGACCTTTAGCTGATTTAAGTAAATTTAAAGTCCAGCAGAGTTTGAGCCACAGGGCTACTGCTTGGTTAATGTCACATCCTACGCTACACCTCCCATAACCGTGTAATCCGTAAAGCATAATTGGTATATTTGCTACTCTACCACATAAACTTAAGATATTTATTTGTAATTCTATCTCAAGTATGTACTTTATTTGTGTTTTTTGTTTTCTTTTTCAGCCTCATTGACTGTTATTTCAGTAAAAGCCGTCTCAGGCATGATCACTTTTTCTATGACGGATAAAATGCAACTAACTTATCCCATCTTCTATATCATGTTTATCATCATGATAGCATCTTGTGTTTTCCAAGTCAAGTAAGTTAGCTTCTACATACTCACTAAGCTTTCAGCATTCCGTGCTTCTCTGAACATTAATCTTTTTTGGCTTCAGATGATAATTACAATGAAATACAACTGATTTCTAAGGGTGAAGGGCCTACAGCCTATCCTCAGCCAACATGCCTTGCTTTGTCCTTTGCATCCAATATTAAGTTTTACTAAGCATTGCCTTCATGTCTCGTGAGTTCTACAGTGTGGCCCTAATCCAGCTAAGTGCACTTTGATACTTTCCTGATGCTCTTCTGCTTGTAATTAATATCCATCATGCACAGGTTGTCATTAGCAATAAATCAAAGGGGCAGGTCCACATCCAGGATTTCATTCTAAATATAGGAAATACATGAACCCTTCACCTTCGTTTCTTAGCTCATGCTTGTTAATTGCCCAGAGATGGACGAAACCAGACGTTTGGCCTGGAGGGAAATCCTTTCCCCAGAACTTTGCATCTTTGGCCAGAATTTTCTTTGTGCCCATGGGATTGCAGAATGATTGTTTTATGTTTCTCTTGGGGCCTAGTAGTGGTGACATGGAACATTTTTAATTACTGTTCTTCTCTCCCACCTCCCCCTCCCATCTGCTCCAATCACTTCCCCTCCATTTCATACTAGAATTGTGCTTTTGCCTGCTTAGGCTCTCTTGAGTTGAGCTGAAAGTTTTCTGTTTACCCCAAAATGCTATGCAAAGGCACCATCGTGGTGCCAGCTAGGAAATCAGAGCTCAAACTCCGAACCCGAGTGGTTCCTTCTGTAGATACTAGAAGTCAAGTCCGATTGTTATGAGCTGATTATAGGCCCTGTTACAGGGTCTGTGGAGAGTTACTGGAGAAACCCTAGGTTCTGTCACTGTTTTGCTTGTCATTTCCTTATAAGACTGAATGTGTTTCTATACTTGAATCTTGCTATCTTGTTTCTTCTCTTTCTTCTTCTGAATTAGTTGGTACTGCTACAATACCTTCTGGGATTTAGTGACTTTGTACTATGCTTTATAAAATTTGAAAGGCAGACACATCTGAAGATAAATTGCACCCTGTCACACTGTAGAACACTCCTGGTTGCCCATTAAAATTACCTGAAGAGGTTTGTTTGTATACATGTATACATGCATTCGTGTATACCTATGTACATGTATGTATGTGTACACACACATACACACACACACACCTGGGCTCTACTCACAAAGATTTTTTTTTTCAATTGCTCTCTAGTAAGACCTAGGCATTTGTGCCTTTTTTAAAAAGTGCCCAGGTGGTATCAGTGCAATTCACTGCTTTGGAAAACAGTGTAGTCCCTGACAGGGCAGCACAACACAGTTGTGGGAACCTGAATTTATGCTGGTGGCCAGAGTGAGAAGCTGAGCTCCCACATGTGTGCTGCAGCTGGAGTACTGAGCATTGTTTTTGAAACATTAAACATTCCTTTACTTCTCCATCTTCCTTCTTGGCACGTGGCATGTCATTGGATAGCTATACTATTCCCCAGATATGATATTTAACAGATTCTAGGTTCTATCCTAATGAATCAGTCCTAGTGTGATACTGGTCCAGCAGCTTGAATCGCTTCCAACTCAAACTTCTGTGGCCTCAGAATATGATTAATTGCTTTTCATTGTTACTGTTGTTGGTTTAAACAGACCATAAAACCTGACATCTGATCTCATACATCAGATGCATATAAGCTATGACTGCTGATTGGAAATGCCCTTCCACTGCACTTCCTTTCCCTTTGTAGTTGTAGCTAAAGAACATGCATTGCTTGAAGTTATTGCTAACTTATTGCTGAGTATCTCTTAAAGCCAGAGCTTCAGCAAGTGTCTTCTGCTCTAGGTTCCTGAATCAAGCCACGAAACTCTACAGTACAACGACGGTGGTGCCAGTTAATCATATTTTCTTTACAACCAGTGCCATTATTGCAGGTGAGTTTTGGTTTCCTATACATATGTGACTCCAAGCATAAACGAAGTTTCTCTCAGAGCAAATGAGAGAATCAAAGAATGCTTAGGTTTTAAGGTCAGTACCCTCCCCCCAGCCTCCGCCTACTGTCTCAGTTTCCTCCATGACATCTTCTAGGACAGGTATGAATGCTCCCCAGTGCTCTCAGGAGGCATCCTGAGTCAGCTCAGTCCTATTTTGGATCACCCTCATTATCTGGAGAGTTCTAATTATTAGAAAGTGTTTCCTTGTATTGGAACTGAAATTAGTTTCCTTGTGAATTCAAGACACTCATTTTAGATTGGCTTGAGTCTTTCCCTTGCCAGCCCTTCTGATCATCAAAGCAACTGAAAGGTCCTTGTGAATCTTCTCTCTGGGCCAAACATCCCCAATTCTATTAACTCTTCCTATACACCCACCAGCTTGATCAGAGAATGGGCCCCAAAACTGAACTCAGTGTTGTAGGGAAAGCCTGACAGATGAGAATAGAAACCTTTGCTGTTCTGGCTTCTATTTTTCTACTGTTGCAGTTCTTTTATTTTTATGGGCAGTTTTTAAAATGTGGCAGACATGATAGTATTAAAACAAAAAGTATAAATTTGTAACTTGGTCCAAACCAAAATACAGTAAAGTGTATCATTTCTAAATTTGGTACTGGTATGCCCTAGTTCATTGGTTTATTTGATGTATTTACCACCTTCTTCTCTTGAGAGTTCATTTCTCAATGTAAACTTTATGTGTTTTAGAGGTAATTAGGGATTTTCTGTTTCCTAATTGGCACATCTTTTTTATTTCATGGAAAACAATGTGACTATCAGTGGACAATCTTTAAAAGTAATTAATGCATTTTCTTTTTCCAAAAATTAAAACTTATATTTCAAGGAAAGGATTATATCCCATGTCATCTAATTTTTTTTTAGTATTTTGTGCTTATTAATAAAAGAAAATGAGAGAAGACTGCATATTGGTGTGTGCTAGAATGACCGAAAAAGGAAAATAAGGCCAAAAAGAGTTATTGGAACGACATACAGCCGGATAGTTAATGTTAATATGCAACTACATATGCCCTGAGTAGAAGATTTTCTAGGAGGACAACAGGGCTGGGTCTTAATACTCACCACACAGAGTAACTGTCAGTCAAGGAGGCTGGGACATCACAGGAGTCGTAACAGTTCCTCTGATGTCACTGGCACATGGAATGGAGTGAAGCTTCTTAACCGACTTCCCCTCTCTGCCTCCATGAAACAGTATAGCTTAAAGTTAAAACGAGACACCATATTTTACCTAATAAATGAGTCAAGTTTTTATTTGTCCTTTTTATTGCAATAGCCAATGTTGACAAGGCTGCAGTATCACAGGCACTCTCACGGGCTGATTAGTGTGTTACCACCCTCCTAGAACTGATTTTATAGTTTTTATCAAGAGCCCTAAAAAGGTTTTCACTCTTTGATTCTACAAATCAACAACAAAAAAAAACAAACGACCTGATTTTTAAAGTGAGCAAAGGACTTGAATAGATGTTTCTGCAAGGAAGATATATAAGATGACCACCAAGCATGTGAAAAGATGTCCAACATCACTAATCATAAGGGAAATGCAAATCAAAACCACCATGGGATATCACCACACACCGAGAAGAAAGGCTGCTCTTAATAACAGAAAATAAGTGGTGGTGAGGATGTGGAGAACTGTAACCGTTATACGCTGTTGGTGGGAATGCAAAATGGTACAGCCATTATGGAAAACAGTATGGCAGTTCCTCAAAAATATTAAAAATATAGGCTGGGCGTGGTGGCTCACGCCTGTAATCCTAGCACTCTGGGAGAATCGCTCAAGGTAAGGAGTTCAAGACCAGCCTGAGCAAGAGCGAGACCCAGTGTCTACTAAAAATAGAAAGAAATTAGCTGGACAACCAAAAATACATAGAAAAAATTAGGCGGGCATGTTGGAGCATGCCTATAGTCCCAGCTACTTGGGAGGCTGAGGCAGAAGGATCGCTTGAGCCCAGGAGTTTGAGGTTGCTGTGAGCTACGCTGATGCCTAGGCAACAGAGCAAGACTCTGTCTAAAAAAATAAATAAATAAAAATATATATATATATAATTACTATATGATCCAGCAATTCCACTTCTAGGCATATGGCCAAAAGAATTGAAAGCAGGGTCTTAAAACGATATTTGTGTACCCATGTTCATAGCAGCATTATTCTCAATAGCCAAAAGGCGGAAGCAACCCAAATGTTCATTGACAGATGAATGTATAAACAAAATGTGGCGTATGCATACAATGGAATATTATATGGCCTTCAAAATGAAAGAAGTTCTAACACATGCTACAACATAGATGAACCTTGAAGACATTATGCTAAGTGAAATAAGCCAGGAACAGAAAGACAAATATTGTATGATTCTACTTATATGAGATATCCAGAGTGGTCAAACTTCGTGAGACAAAAAGTAGAACAGTGGCTGGGGAAATGGGGAGTTATATAATGGGAATAGAATTTCAGTTTTTCAAGGTGGAATAAGTTCTGGAAATTGGCTGCACAACAATGTGAATATACTTAACACTACTGAACTGTACTCTTAAAAAGAGTTAAGATGGTAAATTTTATGTTATGTATATTTTACTACAATTTTTTTAAAAAGAAAAAATGTTTCTACTAGGAAACAGAAATTCCACTTCTAGAAACCCACTTTAATGACAACAAAAAATACTAAAATGCTGGGGAAAATATGTTGATGAGGATGCTTCATTTTATGGTGCTTTGCGTTGTTTTTTACAAATGGAAGGTTCATAGCAACCCTGCATTGAGCAAGTCTGTCGACATCATTTTTCCAATAGCACGTGCTCACTTTGTGCTCTGTGTCATTTTGATAATTCTCACATTATTTCAAATTTGTCATTATTATTATGTCTATTATGGTAACCTACAATCAGTGCTTTTTGATGTTACTATTATAATTGTTTTGGGACACCATGAACCTTGCCCATTTAAAATGGCAAACTTGATCAATAAGTGTTGTGTGTGTTCTGACTGCTCCCCCAACCCGCTGTTTCCTCATCTCTCTCCCTCTCCTTGGGCCTCCCTATTCCCTGAGACACGAAAATATTGAAATTAGGCCAATTAATAACCTTACAGTGGCCTCTGACTATTCAGGAGAAAGGAAGAGTCACACAACTCTCAACTTAAATTGAAAGCTAGAAATGATTAAGCTTCGTGAGAAAGGATCGTCAAAAGCTGAGATAGGCTGAAAGCTAGGTAGGTCTCTTGCACCAGTTACCTAAGTTGTGAATGCAAAAGAAAAGATCTTGAAAAAAATTAAAAGTACTATTCCAGTGAACGCACAAATGATAAGAGAAAGTTTTAGTAGTCTGGAGAGAAGATCAAACCAGTCACAACATTCCTTTAAGCCAAAGCCTAATCCAGAACAAGACTCTAACTCTCTTCAATTCTATGAAGGGTGAAAGGGGTGAGGAAGCTACAGAAGAGTGTGAAGCTAGCAGAGGTTGGTTCATGAGGTTTAAGGAAAGCAGCCTTCTCCATAACATAATAGAGCAAAGTGAAGCAGCAAGTGCTAACATAGAAGCTGCAGCAAGTTATCCAGAAGATCTAGCTAAGATCACTGATGAAGGCGGCCACACTAAACTGGTTTTCAATGTAGATAAAACAGCCTTCTATTGGACGGAGTTGCCATCTAGAGCTTTCATAGCCAAAGAGTAGACTTCAATGCCTGGCTTCAAAGCGTCAAAGGACAGGCTGACTCTCTTGTTAGGGGCTAATGCAGCTGGTGACTTTAAGTTCAAAGCAGTGTTCATTTTCCATTCTGAAAATCCTAAGGCCCTTAAGAATTATGCCAAATCTATTCTGCCTATGCTCTGGAAATGGAATAACAAATCCTGGGTGACAGCACATCTGTCTACAACATGGGTTACAGAATATTTTAAACCCACTGGTGAGACCTACTGCTCAGAATAAAGATTCCTTTCAAAATATTAGTGCTCATTGACAATGCCCCTGGGCACCCAAGAGCTCCGATGAAGATGTAAAGGAGATTAGTGTTGTTTTCATGCCTGCTAATGTAAAATTCATTCTGTAGCCCATGAATCAAGAAGTAATTTTGACTTTCAAGTCTTATTATTTAAGAAATAGATTCCAAAAGGCTATAGCTGCCGTAGATAATGATTCCTCTGATGGATATGGGCAAAGTCAATTGAAAATCTTCTGGAAAGGATTCACCATTCATGATTCATGGGAGGATGTGAAAATATCCACATTAACAGGAGTTTGGAATAAGTTGATTCCAACCCTCAAGGGTGACTTTGAGGGGTTCAAAACTTCAGTGGAGAAAGTAACTGCAGATGTGGTGGAAATAGCAAGAGAATTAGAATTAGAAGTGGCGCCTGAAGATGTGACTGAATTGCTACAATCTCATGATCAAACTTAAATGGATGAGGAGTTGCTTCTTATGGATGAGCTAAGAAAGTGGTTTCCTGAGATAGAATCTACTACTGATGAAGACGTTGTGAATATTGTTGAGATGACAACGAAGGATTTAGAATATTCCATAAACTTAGCTGATAAAGCAGTGGCAGGGTTTGAGAAGACCGATTCCAATTTTGAAAGAAGTTCTACTGGGGGTAAAAATGCTATCAAACAGCATCGCATGCCACAAAGAAATCTTTTGTGGAAAGAAGAGGCAATTGATGTGGCAAACTTTATTGTTGTCTTACCTTAAGAAATCGCCAAAGCCACACCATCCTTCAGTAGCCACCACCCTGATCAGTCAGCAGACATCAACGTCAAGTCAAGACCCTCCACCAGTAAAAGGATTATGACTCACTGCAGGCTCAGGTGATCATTAACATTTTTTAGCAATAAAATATTTTTTAATTAATGTATGTACAGTATTTTTTAGACATAACACTATTGCACACTTAATAGACTACAGTATAGTGAAAACATAACTTTCGTATGCACTCGGAAACCAAAAAACTGGTGTGACTGGCTTTATTATAGTGGTTTGGAACCAAACCCACAGCATTGACAAGGTGTGCCTGTATTAAAGAAGTTCATTGCTGCTTTCTTTAGAAAAAAAGTTTAGAAAAAACTTGAAATGCCCTTGGAGTAATGAATATTATGGTGCACCAATATAGAATAACATGAAAACATTAAAATGATTACAAGGAAGTATGTGATAACATGGAAAATGCTTTTTCCTGTAAGCAGTTCATTCTCTAAGCAAGGACATAAGGTTGAGATTGAGAAAGCTCCTTGCGGACAGGACTCTGGTCTCATTCATGGCGGTATCTCCAGCACCTAGAGCAGGCTGGCACGCAGGAGATGCTCAGTAAGGATTTGTTGGCTAATCGGAAAGGCTAACACCACACACACAAAATTTAATTCCAGGCGATACATAACTTAAAGGTATCTTATCTCATAAAAACTTCCTGAAGGCTTTGGGACTTTAGACCAAGAAGAAATCATTGAGACCAACAGGTAAAGAAGAAAAGCTCACCGAGTGGGCCATGCATCCTTGTTTTCCTTCACCCAGAAGGGAAGACCAGCAGATGAGAAGGGACCATGGCAGTGGGGGGCAGAGCTGAGGCAGCATTTCGGTTGCCAGAGTGTCCTCCAGTGCCTGAGTCGGCACGTGGCCAGACCAACAGACCACAGGGCATTGCCAAGAGTAACAGCATGGGCGGCGGCAGCTGGCCTGGGGTGGCTGCCGTGTCAAAGGCCCCCAGGTCCATGCAGACTCTCAGGCCAGGCTTGCTGACTCCACCCTAAAACTGTAGGTAGGAAATGGTCGCTAGAGTTCTGTTTCCTTGCATATTCCAGTGGGGCAATCCTGGACTGGATAAGAAACTTCTGTTTGCAAAAGTTATGTCAATTATGTTGATTTTATAATAATGATAATTCCATTATATAAGGTCTACGAATCTTTGTCCTTTTTGGAATAACTTAAAATGTAAGTATGGCATGCAATGTTTTTTAAACCAAACTAAAAAATATGCATTTTAAGGGTAACTATGCTTAGAAAAAATAGTATATTAACATAATTTTAAGAACAATGTATAGCTATTATAAATATTCTTACCTAAAAATTCATTTTGTATTCTATTCCTGTTATAGGTATCATATTTTATCAGGAATTCCTAGGTGCCGCTTTTCTCACTGTATTTATATATCTTTTTGGGTGAGTAAATGTCTTAGAGGTGGGTATGTGAAATTCTGTTACTTTTATATAGGATTTTTGGCATTATACCTGAGATATAGAAAATTGGGAAGTAGTATAAGAAACATCAGCTTCCTGAGCTCCTAAAAGAAACATATTTTTTTACTTAACACCCCACACAGGGCTCAGTGTCTTTGGCTTTGTGATTTAGGTACCCCTCTGAGGGTTCTGAAACACTGGAGATTTTCAGTTCCAGCCAAAGTCACGATAGATCCACTGGCCCTTGTAGTAACTTCACAGCCTTTTTGTGCTATATCAGACCTACCTCACCCTTGGGAACCCCTAGATTAGATCTCAATTAGAGAACCAGAATGCCTCTAGGGTCACTCAGAATATAATAAAAGACCTCGACGAGCAGATCCCTTGCTTTGGACTTGATAACATCAAACTGGTAGCATCCCTCTCTTGTGTCAGAGTGTGCAGCTTGAACTCTCCTTAGAGATTTGGTGGGCATCATTGCCAGCATTGCTTACAAACAGAGAGCAGAACTTTGACAACGTATTGCCAATGCGCAAGAGTTCCCATCAACTCCAAGTGGACGCTGTTAAAGCTTAGCTGCTTCTCGATCTGGTATTCAGCATCACCATTGTTATGCAAACTTGAACCTAGACTATTTTCAGCATAGGAAACCATCTATCTCAAAAATTTAATTTCATAAAATACTTGGGCAAAGCCAAATTCAGGGGCCTGGAAACTACAACTCCTCTTATGGCCAAGGACAACTAGATTTCTTAGAAAATTAAAAAATAAATTATTTTTTCACTTGTGTTGCATGACAGTAATGGGTCTGGGCATGTGTGGATAGAAAATGAGACCTAGTGTCTACCCAAAGGGTTTGTAGCCTGAATTATCCCCCAGATGGTAAAAACCTGGGGCAGAGATTTATTGGAAACTGCCCAGGTCTTGGTTCTGGGTACAAATATTATTGGCTGCAACAATTAAGAAAATTTCTAGGCAGCTTACCATGAGAAACCAGATGAACAAAACCAATGGAATTTATGTCATCACGTAGAATATGGAGCTCAATTATTTAATATCATGAGCTGTTTCAGTGTTCTTGTGTTGTTTATTAATATTATTCTTACAGGTGTTTTCTGTCATTCCTTGGCGTGTTTTTGGTCACAAGAAATCGAGCAAAGGAACATCTGCAACAGTCTTATATCGATTTTGGAAATATTCCTGGTAAAATTATACATTCTTTGCAATAGAAAATTTTATCCTCACAAATTAATAATTGCTGGTATTATTTTGGGTGGTGAGTTAATACAAACCATAATTCTTACCCTCAAAAAATGTATATTTAATGATGAAACTTAAGGTGGTGTTTTAAGTGTAAATGTTAACAATGATTTGTTGAATTTTAGTTTTGCATAGAACACTGGGGATATAAAAGAACTGACCATGTTTTCTTGATTTGGGTGATTTGAGGGATTTCCATTGTGGGTTTCCTTAAACTGGAAAAGGATAGGGAAAAGAGTGGGAATGGCTACCAACAGCAGACCCCAGCGCTTGGAGAGCCTTTGAAAGAACATCTAAGGATGAGGGCCAGGTAGCTAAGGGACATCATTCCTGGGGAGACTGAGGTGGCTTGTGCACAGTGGTACTAAGAGTGACATTCATCACAGTCACCAGGACACAAGTAGCTCCTTCCCCTCCTCTCCACACTCATCCAGGTTGAGCTAACATGCAACGTCTTTCCCATTATAACTCTCATGGGAAATGACTTGCTTAGTCATCTAGACAACAAAAGAGAAGTCCAGAACAAAGGACACAGTCTGCTGTGTCCTCACCTCCTCCTTTGCCCACTCCACCCCCAGGAGCCTCCAGCTTACCTGGGGGTTCAGGGTGACCTATCAGTTTCCAGACAGGCATGCAGATACTCTCACAGCTACCTCTACCATTCTGTTAGCACCACACCTTTGAAGCAAAAACTAGTAAAGCCTCATCCCTAAGACTGCGGAACATGGCCCTCTGCAATGAATTCCATGTCCTCTTTGCCATTTGAGCCATCTGATCAGCCAGGAGCATTCAGTGCAAGCATTGGTGTTCACAGCAAGGAAATGCATGAGAGATGACTTGTATGGTGAGAGGTTCTTTGGTAGGAAATAAAGTTTAATTATTTTTAACTCCATTTTCCATTTCACAAAGCCCCACATATAGGCTCGGTATAAGCTTTAGAAGCCACTATTAAAGGCTATTTTTCTATATTGTTATATACATTAAACTGAACATGGCGAGGAAGACAGAACCCTGGGGAGAAACATTTAGAGACGAGTGAATGCTTCGTGCGCCCAACCTGATTTCTGTGCCCAGCATGTAGATCCTGCAGGGTTGGGGAAGCAGCTCTCATGGGGACAGGGCACGATCACATAGCAAGCGAGTGACGTGTGGTTCCGTGTGCCTTTGCTTCCTTGACATTTATCTCTTCTGTTTAGGGGGTGACCGCAGAACATAAAAAAAAAATGGGGGATTAAATGTGGCCTAGATTAAAGAGAAATTATTAAGACTTATTTCTCTATAAGACCTCAAAAGATTTTTACGATTATTATCTCCACAGGGAAACAAATGCTGGACAAAATACAACCAGATTCAAATAGCTTATCCTATGGAACTTTGCCTGATGGAAGCGACTCAACAAAGAGCCAAAGTGGAGAGAAGAAAGAGGTTTAAAATGCCGAGAGGGATGGCTGTTGGCCTGTTACTCGATACCACCTCTTTAAAGAATTGCACATGTTCAATTTGTGTCAGCAGCTATTTTATGCTGACATACGCTAGCATTCCTTTCAGTGCCCCCCCTCCCACCTCAATTTCTATGGACAATCAGGCCTTCTAAGCTTTGACAGTCTAATGCTGTCATGGAATGTAATCTGAAGTGTGCCCCACACCCTGGACTTCTCCCTAGTGATCCTTTCACCGGCTAGATCTTAATTAGAGCCTGGCTGCTCAAGCAGGAATGTTGCACAAAAACGTACATTCGCGATTTGGTCACAGAACACATAGGTTGCTTCTCCCACGTGCCTAGAGGTTGTATGGCTTTAAAGAGACACTTTAGCCCCACAACCGCATTCCTGAAAGAAAGGTTTGAGAACATTCATTTTTTTTCTAGGGCAACTTTTATGAGCCTCCCCATAAAAATCTCACCTTTCTAGTCCTAAATTAGAATGGCAAGTCATCTTTTCTGAAAACTTGTGCTATTAAAATCCTCCTTTGAAAATTAAGGGTTTCTTTAAAATTTATAAATGGCATTTCTATGATGGTGTATACCAAAACTAAAAGACCTTGGCTGGTGGACTTTATAAGTGTAAGAAAGAGAAAATTTAAGAATTAGGACTGTGCTTGCTTCAGCAGCATATATACTAAAATTGGAACCATGCAGAGAAAATTAGCATGGCCCCTGTACAAGGATGACACATAGATTCATGAAGCATTTGGGGGAAAAAACGCATTAAGGCCAATGTTTATTTTTTAATAAAAATATAGAATGGTGACGTTTTCTTCAGCTGTATGATTCTATTATACTTGAATTGAGACTGAAGAAAAACTTCATATCCTATACCTTTATTTGTTACAGAGCTTATAATTTATCAAGTGAGTTTATGTGTTTTAACTCTCAACACAAGTCTCAAAAATCACATTTAAATTCTTAGCAGTATGTTTCACTGCACACCATTTCCTCCCTAAGTCATTATTTGAAGCTTTGTGAATTCTTCTAGGTAAAAGGAAGGTTACGGTTAGAGAGCTGCATCTCAGCCATTGAAATATGCACACAGAGAACACAGCCAGGTGGCCAGACCTGAGCCTCAAATGGCATTTCTGCTGCAATGAATTACATATCTACTAAGATACATCTGCAGATGGAATCCATAATAATGTCTGTCATTTATGATCTACCTCATATTTAAATGAGAAGAAAAGAGGTAGCCTTCACTGTAACCAACATCAAATAATAAGCCCTATCCTTAATGACATTGCAAAACTTCAGATCATTTCTGACGTGTCGATCCAATTGTTCCAGCCAATTGTCTTGTGTTTGTGTAGGTTAACTCAGAGCTATTCAGACTGTAATCTTGACGGCTTCTGGTCTTTTAGCTTTGTTCTTTGTCATAACCTACACTCCTGACCAGACAGGCTGCAAAGGAGAGAGATTCGAATTTATCATCAATGTATGAAAAATAACCCAGAGCCCACATCCGGCTCCTAAACTCCTGATAACAATTCCTGCCATTATGGAAAACGTCACATTCGTTCAGATAAAACAGTCACATAATTTATGGTATGTTTTACTGAGTTGGTCCTGTGTGTTGGCACTGGAAGCTCAGCTAAGAAATGTGTTTGGAGCCTTAAACAACAGATTTCTGGTGACTCTTAAAACTGGTTTCAGAGATTGGGAAAACAATAGACTGAAGAGTTTTGCTTCAAAGGAGACTACATGTGTAGCTACAGTGCATGGCTTTGAGCACTGAAGAATTTTGCACAGACATAATCATAATGCAGGTACTTTAGTGACCACCAACATTTGCATCTATTAAAAGTTTTGAGAAATGACATCGACTTATGCACATTTTAGCAATCCAGCAATGCTTTAGAAGTCCAGGTAACATATAAAATATAGTCAGACCTAATTTTACTTTCCATATTGCTGGTCCGAAGCAAGGTGAATAGTAATTTCAGTTGTATTGGCTTGTAAGATTTTTAAAATTACACGGTGCATGACAACAACTAAAGTCAAGCCGGGCCTTCTCTTGGCATTGTGATTTGGGGACCTTTAGCTAACAATTGGCTCATCTGACTATTTCTCTAAACCAGGGCTTGGCAAACTTTTTCAGTAAAGACATAGTGAGTAAATATTTTGGGGTTTGTGTTGTCCATACGGTGTCTGTCACAACTACTCAACTCTGTTGTTGTAGCACACACAGTCATAGCAAGCAGCCATAGAGAATATGTAAACAAATGAGCATGGCTGTGTCCCAGTAAAACTTTATTTACAAAGACAGGTGGCCAGTCCATGGGCTATAGTTAGCCAGCTCCTGGTCCAGACTGTTCTGCCCTTGCTGTGCAGCGGCTTTGCTGTTGCCTGGGCATTCAAGGATTTACAAAGTGACACTTCATGGTTCATGACAAATCAGATACTATGGGAGTGTGGGAACCATGTTTTGATATTTACATTTGGATCTTTTTGTTTATATAAGTTATAAATGGAAGTGATGAGTTCATCCTTGGGATCCACGTTTCTCTCTGTTGAAATCAGTGGTGCTTTCGTGAACACCGCTAACTATTTTACAAGAGCCTCTCCAGTCCCACACTGCAAGCTGATAATCGCTTTGGAAATGAGTAACGATTACCTTTCATGTAGTAGATTAAAAGCAGAGGGCTTTACCCTCTGATTGTCTTTCAGCTTAAATGTTTGCTTGCCCTGTAACTCTAATACTTTTACGACCAGAATCACTCGAAAACAAATACAATAAAAACATTTCTTAAGCAGTGACCAAGGATCCATACTTCACCCTCCCCCACACCTCACACACTCCTGGTTACTCTGTTCTGTGGCAGAGAAAGAAAGGGGAAAGACAGATTGCCTAGATTAGTGCAATTTCAGTGCTATGAAAGAGTAATGGTGATAATGTGTAAGTTTGGCTCCAAAGGAAGCAGGTGCAATGGTGGACATGACTCAGATGGATAGAAACATTGAGCCAAGTTCCTGAAGCCAAGAACCCTCTCTGTGCTCCTGTTTCCAAGCACACAGCTCATCCAGGAATGGTGACTATACACGCTCAGCCACACTGAAGGCTGCCTCGTGCCTGCCAATTTAATAGTGATATGATGGACATAAATATAGCAGTTACTAAAATGAACCTTCCCAACGCCCTTCCAGACTGCTTTACTTAAACCCCATGGCTGGTTACGGAGGCAGTCCTTGAACTGGGCAGCCACAAACCTAATGCACGTGTTTGGCACCAGTGAATGGGAATCTTTTAGTGAGTCTGCTAGATAAACACCACACATTTTGAACTATTAGAACAAGATCTCAAAATTGAACCTAACATGATTGTGTGGGGAATTTAGAGGCTGCTTCTAATCATTAGACTCATCAACAGTCTGGCTCTTATTAGGGCCATCTTGAAGTAAAAAAATAAAATGAAATTCCACACATACACATTTTCCATGCAAATATAGACCAGTCTTGGGCTATTAAACGTAGCGTTTTAGCAATTGTGGTAAATGCAGGGAAGAGCCTTTCCACCCAGGAATTCTTGAGTCTGTTCCCTTTCTCACCAGCCTCAGGGTACCACACAGCGTGCTGTCCTGTGCCAGGAGAGCAAATCAGTTGCAGGATCTGTGGCCCATCCAAAGAAATATTTTTCTTTTTTTGCTAGAGAGGGAGGAAACTCCTCCTTTAATGTTGATTCTTATTGAGAGTTAATGAGTCCCAACCACAATGTAAAAGAGGAATATCAATCCTGATATCAAATAAATGTGGGGTTTCAGGGTGCACCCAGCTGGACCCAGGCACTGCCAAGAGTTTCATGGAGTTCCAGACAAGATGCAAGATAGTCTCCGTGTTCCAGGAAAGAATCTCCTCCCCAGGGAGCTGGCAAGTGCGTAACCAAGAAGGAGCCCATCCTTTCCTGATGGGACCAGCACGCATGGACCAAAGCCATTTTGCACATTTGAGCTGCCGCTATCCAGACGTGAGCCAGTCCCCCCAGCATGCACGCATCCCACTTTCAGAGCCCTTTCTTCATGGTTCTAATTTGAAAACCAACCTCAGAAATGCTCTGAGGCTTGGGCTCTACTTCTTCTGTCTAAAGCACCTGACCTAAACCTTCTAAACACTAGACACGAACAAGGAGATGAATCAGTGCAAGAACTCTTGATCCAGGGACTCAAAGCTTGGGTTGTTTGCCTAATTATAGACTACTAACCCAATTACCACATGCCCCAAACTTAGCAAATGTTCATTAATTCACTCAAATATAGTTGATCACCTACTATTTTCAGTGTAATGTGTTTGGGTTTTTTTTTAATAGACTTTATTTAAAAGACTTTATTTTGCTGTGAATATTAGGTTCACAGCAAAATTGAGCAGAAGGTACAGACAGCCCCCATCCACCCACCACCCCCACATGCACAGCCTCCATCGATGAACCTGCATTGACACATAATCGCCCAAAGTCCCTATTGTACATTAGGGTTCACTCTTCTACATTCTGCATTCTACAGGTTTGGACAAGGTGCAATGGCACGTACATTTGTCTCTCCCCTCCACTCCTGGCAACCACTGATCTTTTCACTGTCTCCAAAGTTTTGCTGTTTCCAGAATGTCATATGTTGTCATCACACACATAGTACGTAGTCCTTTCTGATTGGCTTCTTTCACTAAGTAATATGGATTTAAGCTTCTTCCATGCCTTTTCATGGCTTTATAGCTCATTTCTTTTTAGTGCTGAATAGCATTCCATTGCCTGGATATATCACATTTTATCCATGCGTCTCCTGAAACACATCTTGGTTGCTTCCAAGTTTTGGCAATTTAAGGCTATTAGGAATCTAAAAACGAATTAGACATGAAGACCAACTCTTTAGGAGTATACTATCTAGTCAGAGAAACAACAGCTATCATTTATTGAGCCCTTACTATGTGACAGGCACTGTGCTAAATCTTTTATTTGTGTTACTCATTTGATTCTTACAATTTCTCCATCAGAGAGGTCCTTATCCCCACTTTACAGATTAGAAAACCAGGACAAGAGGCAGGACAGGAACTAGGTTAAGTCAAGAAAGGCCTAAGGCACAAACCTTAAGGAAACTCATGAAAATCTTACTTGTAGGGTAGTGAAAAGCGTGCCCCTGCATTTGCAGAATCCTGAGAGCAAGTGCTCCCTAAACTCTGTGTCCTAAGCACCTCACTGTGTCCTGACCCTGGCAAGAGGAGTTAAGTGACTGGCCAGTATCATTCAGTTGGCAAGTGGCAACACTGGGATGCAAATCCAGGACATCTAATTCTGTAACCTACACTCTCCGCACTAGTGCCAAAGTACCCATACTGCATAACAGAATGTCAAAAGTGCCTTAAGATACTTGGAAAAAGGATATGGGAGCTCAGAGGCAAGAAAGTTCTAGCGGACAGTCTTCAAACAGATTGAGGACCATGATGGGTTAAATGGTGGCCCCAAAA